AGAGGCATCCCGGGCTGACTGTGCTGCACGGACACGCCATTCTGTGCAGGATGGAGGCTGGAGGCACCCATCTCCACCATTTGCTCACTTTGTGCTTCTGTGTCACATTTTGGTAATTCTTGCAATAATTTAAACGTTTTTATTACTATGTTTGTTACAATAATCTGTGATAAGTGACCTTTGATGTTACTCCCATATCTGCTTGGGGCATCACGGATTGCATCTACTGGCATATAAGAGGGTGAACATCACCAATCAAGGTTGTGTGTTCTGACTGCTCCATCAAGGGGCTGCTCCCATCTCTGTCTCTCTCCCTCTCTCCAGGCCTCCATGTTCCCTCAGACACAATAATGAAATTAATCTTATGAATAACCGTACAATGGCCTCTAAGTGAAATCTCAATCTGGAAATGATTAAACTTAATAAGGAAAACATGTAGAAAGTCAAGACTCCCATCCTCCCAGTAACAATATGAAAATTAGAGCTAAACTATAGAACAACCATCATTCAGAAACCACGTGAAATTGAGCTGAATGGAAGTCTTACAACTAAGGATTTAAAGAAGCCACCTCAAGCCTGGTAGAAGTGGGAACACAGAACAGGTTGGTCCCACACCTATGTGTGGGGGATAAAAATTGGAAGGGATATCTCAGCTACTAAGGCCATCCCTCAGGAGAAGGGGTCCCAGCCCCACACTAGCGTTCTAGTGCCAGGAAGAGAAATCATCATAACTTCTGGCTGTGAAAACCAGCGGTGATTGAGGCTGAGGGAGACAGAGGACTGCTGGAGTCCCAACCAGTTCCTCTTAAAGGGCCATGCACAGACGTACACAGGCTCCCTCTGAACTCCAGCTCTGGGGCAGCAGCTTGAAAGTACCAGAGACATACAGAGAGGAACCGAATTGTCAGTCACTGGAGAGGCAGTTTCTCCAAAGAGAAGTACTGGCAGAAGCCACTGTTCCTTTTATAAGACTGCACTCCCCACAGAGCCCACAGGCTAGTGTGCACCATATCTGAGACTCCCTCAACTTGGCTTACCCCGGAGAGTCCCTGGAACCCCACCTCACCCAACTTGTGGGTCCACTCAAGCTGTTTCCAGTGGCTTTTCCATACTAAGGGCTTACCTTGGCTCATGCTCCAGACGTTCGTGAAATCTCTCAAATAGCATCTGGCCTCAGTGTGCCCCATACCTCTTGATAAGTGGCTCCATGCCTGGCACAAGCAGCAGCTAGACTTATATCACAGCTTGGTCTCTGAGTACCTCCAAGCCCAGCACAAGTAGCAGCCATCTGCAGATAGCTTTGTAGCTCATGCTGGGTGGCTCCAGGCAGAATTCGGGCAGAAGCTGACCTCGGCCAGCACCTCCTAGGAGGCCCCCGAGCCAGCTCACATGGTAGAAAGCACCACGTAACCACCTCTATGACTGATACACTAAAGGGGCAGACTCCATTAGCACCAGAGCCCCACTGAAATAAGTCCTGCTATGTGAGATGGTCCCATGTACACCTAATCCTCCAAGAAAGAAAGAAGCCAGACCAAAAAAAAAAAAAAAAAAAAGGGGAAAACTAGACAAAATAAGCTGATCTCTAGGCCTCTTGCACCAAACAGACCAAGTTATGAATGCAAAGAAAAAATTCTTGAGGTAAATTAAAAGTGATACTCCAATAAACACACAAATGGTAAGAAAGTGAAATCCTTATTACTAATATGGAGAGTTTTAATGGTCTGGATAAAATCCCAATCAGCCACAATATTCCCTTAAGCCCAAGCCCAATAATAGAACAAGACCCTAACTCTCTTCACTTCTATGCAGGCTGAGAATGAGGCAGCTGCAGAAGAAAAGTTGGAAACTAGCAAAGATTGGTTCATAATGCTGGTTTGGCTTAGTGGATAGAGCGTTGGCCTATGGACTGAAGAATCCTGGGTTCAATTCCAGTCAAGAGCACATGTCCAGGTTGTGGGCTTGATCCCCAGTAGGGAGTGTGCAGGAGGCAGTTGATCATGACTAAAAATACAATGTACGTACCATAATTTTTTTTAAAAAAGTTATTGCTTAAAAAAAAGCAAACCATCATGTGAGTTCTCAGTAAGTAATAATGTTGTTGCTTGTGGAAGGCCTTGCCTCGATATTGATGAAAACACAGTAATATGAGGTCTACCTGTGTCTGCTATTTAAACAAAACTCATTTCAGCCCAACCAGTGGCTGAGCGTCGACCTATGAACTGGAGGTCAAGGTTCAATTCCTGTAGAGAGCAGCCTGAGAAGGCACAAACCACTACAGCTCATCTACTATGAAGTAGACAGTATGAACAGCCCCCATTAAGGATGTTGAACCTGTAATTAAAATATCACTTCCAGCCCTGCCAGTGAGGCTCAGTGGCTGAACATCAACCTATGAACCAGGAGGTCACAGTTTGATTCCTGGTCAGGATACATGCGATCAGGGCACTTGCTCGGGTTGTGGGCTTGATCCCCAGTGTGGGGCATGCAGGAGGCAGTCAATCAATGATTCTCTCTCATCATTGATGTTTCTTTTCTATCTCTCCCTCTCTCAAATCAATAAAAACAAGAAAAAAAATAAACTTTAAAAAATAAAAATAAAATACCACTTCTGCTACACCCCATTTAAGTCTCCCAGCTCATAGATTTCACCAGAGAATTCTACCAAGTATTTAAAAAACTAACACCAATTTTGCAAAATCTATACTAATAAAAGGGTAATATGCTAATTAGACCGGACATCTTCTAGACAAAGCCACAGTGGTGGGGGCCAAGGCAGAGGTGGTTAGGGCCAACCAGGCAGGCGGGTAAAGTGGTTAGGAGGGATCAGGCAGGCAGGCAGGCGAGCAGTTAAGAGCCAGTGGTCCCCAATTGTGAGAGGGATGTCCAACTGCTGGTTTAGGCCTGATCCCTGCGGACATCATCTGAGGCATCCTGGAATGGAGAGGAGGTGCAGGCCGAGCTGAGGGATCTCCCATCCCCCACCCCCAACCCCGCACCCTGTGCATGAATTTCATGCATCAGGCCTCTAGTCTCTTATAATAAGAGGAGTGGACATTTCCAAATTCAGCTTATGAAGCTAGTTTTACCTTGAAACCAAAGCTAGACAAAGGCAATAAAATAAGCACTGATCAATATCACTCCTGAACAGATACAAAATAATAGCAAACAAAACTCAGCAATAGATAAAGAGATTTTATACCATGACAATAAGGGAATGCAAGGCTGGTTCAATAATTAAAAATCAGTCAACATAGTCAGCACATTAACAGCCTAAAGAAAATTCACATGTCCGTTATCAACTGAAACAGAAAAGACTTTGATTAAATCCAACACCCATGCACAATAAGAAACATCAGAAAAAAAACTGAGGTGCTTCATCTTAAGAAAATTTACAAAAACTTATAGCTAACAGCATATTTAATGGTAAATAACATTTTACCCCTAAGAGTAGGAACAAGGCAAGGAAATCCTCTCTCACCACTGCTATTCAGCATTGTGCTAGAGATCCTTACCAATGGAATGAGGCAAGGAAAAAAAAAAAAGGCATAAAAACTGGAATGAAATAAAACTGTCCTTATCTGCATATAACATGACTGTCTACATAGAAAATCCAGGTCTCTATTTAAAAACAAGCAAATACACATTAAAACAAAAAACAAAAAACAAAAAAAAACAACCCTTCTTAAAACTGATATATGAATCCAGCAAGGTCACAGAATATAAAATAAACATGATTCTATTTTCATCAAAATTAAAAATATAATACCATTTGCAATTGCTTAAAAAGTGAGGTGCTTATGTATAACAAAACATGTATACAACTTGTGCACTGAGAATCCCAACCAGTGATGAAAGAAATCAAAGAGAATGGAAAGGCATATAATATTCAGAGATCACGAGACCCAGATAGTAAACATGTCAATGCTCCCTAAATTGACACACATATTTAACAAAATTCTTATCAAAATCTCAGTGGGACTTTTTGCAGATATGGGCAAGATTGATTATTCTAAAATGCATAGAAAAAAGCAAAGAAACGAAAATACATAATTTTGAAAAGGAAGAATAAAATAAGAGGAGCCAGTCTACATATAAACTGTGCACTATTAATGCAAAGAAAGACAAATACATCAATGCAACAAAACAGAGAATCCAAGAATAACCCACACAAATATGCTCAACTGATTTTTGACAAAAGAATAAAAGCAACTCAGTGGAAACAAACTTTTCTGCCAAGAGGGCCGAAGCAATTGGACACCCACTAGCAAAAACAAAATGAAACAACAAAACAAAAACAAACTGTGACCTAATTCTCCACCTTATACAAAAATCGGAGCTACACACTTACATGCAAATGGACCACAGATTGTAATCACAGATTGAATCTATGATCACCCAGGTACGTAATTATTGGGTTAATGTATTTTGGACCAAAATGTGAAGTGGATAACTAACGGAAAAAACATAGAAAATCTTTGGGATCTAAAACTAGGCAAAGAGTCCTTAGACTTTATACCAAAAGCATGATCCTTAAAAGAAAAAACTGATTAACTTAACCCAAATTTAAAACTTTTGCTCTGCTAAAGACTCTGTGAAATGGATGGGATGAGAAGAAATATTTACAAAACATACATCCAACAAAGGATAAGTATGCAGACTATATAAAGTGTTTTCAAAACTCAACAGTAAAAAAAGCAAAATGGACAATTAGAACATGGACAGCAGTATGGTGAAGGCCCGGGAGGGGTGGGTGTGGGGTGGAGAGAGTTAATGGGGAAAAAAGGGGAAGACATCTGTAATACACTCAACAACAGAGATTAAAAAAAAAAAAAAAAAAAAAGGACAAAAGTCATAGAGACCTTTCATGGCGAGGATATCGATTACAGATGAGCACATGAAAAGATGTCCAACTTCATCAGCCATTAGAGAATTCAAATTTAAGTCCATAGGAGCAATCAGTATGCATCTATCAGAATGGCTAAAATAAAAAATGGTGAAAGCCAGCCAATGAGTCTGCTTACCTGAATGTGTTTCTACAGAAATTTAGATAAAGCTGGCAATAGTAAAGCCATGTTACGAGCCTTAAAGACATTGAAGTCATTAAGGTCCTTGAAAATGGCAATAAAAAAATCTATTAATTAATTAAAAAACAGTGACATCATCTAATGTTGGCAAGGATGTGGGGAATATAGTGGAAATGTAAAATGGTACAGTCGCGCTGGAAAAAGGTACCAGACAGCCCAACAATTGCATACCAGGGCAGGTGTTCCCAGAGAAATGAAGACTGATGTTCACACAAAACCTGTACACAAATGTTTACAGCAGCGTTATGCAAAATGCCCTAAACCAGAAACCACCCAGATCTCCTTCAGCAGGTGGATGGTTCAACAAACTGTGGTACATCCATACAGTGGGGTCTTTCCTCAGCCACAAGAACAGAACGGATGACTGACACATGCAAAACACTTGTTGAAGCTCCACAGAATTATGCTGATTGAAAACCATCCCCTGCAAGATTGGTATAATATCTGGAAATTAATAAACATTATACACCAAATAAACAAAATGAAGGATAAAAGCCACATGTTTATATCAATAGACACAGAAAAAGGCCTGGACAGCATGGCTTAGTTGATTGAGTGTCAACTTATGAACCAGGAGGTCAAGGTTAAATTTCCAGTCGGAGCATATGTCTGGGTTGCTGGCTTGATCCCCAGTGTAGGGGGCATGCAGGAGGCAGCAGATCAATGATTGTCTGTCTCTCATCATTGATGTTTCTATTTCTATTTCTCCCTCTCTAAAATTAATAAAAATATATTTTTTAAAAATAGATGCAGAAAAGAAAATAGATGCAGAAAAAGCATTTGATAAAATAGAGCACCCATTTATGTAAAAACTCCCTACAAAGTGGAAATACAGGGAATATACCTCAATGTAATAAAGGCCATATATGACAGACCCACAGCCAAAATCATACTCAATGGCAAAAACTATAAGTGTTTCCCTTAATATGAATGTCCCCTTTTAAAAAAATATATTTTATTGATTTTTTACAGAGAGGAAGAGAGAGGAATAGAGTTAGAAACATCGATGAGAGAGAAACATCGATCAGCTGCCTCTTGCACACCTCCCACTGGGGATGTGCCCACAACCAAGGTCATGCCCTTCACCGGAATCGAACCTGGGACCTTTCAGTCTGCAGACCGACGCTCTATCCATTAAGCCAAACCGGTTTCGGCTGGATGTCCACTTTTACCACTCTTATTCAACATGGTACTGGAAATCCTAACCATATCAATCAGACAAGAAGAAATAAAAGACATCCAAATTAGAAAGAGAGAAGAGCCGGGACGGGTTTGGCTCAGTGGATAGAGCGTTGGCCTGCGGACTGAAAGGTCCCAGGTTCGATTCCGGGCAAGGGCGTGTACCTTGGTTGCGGACACATCCCAGTAGGGGGTGTGCAAGAGGCAGCTGATCGATGATTCTCTCTCATCGATATTTCTAGCTCTCTCTCCCTCTCTTTTCCTCTCTGTGAAAAATCAATAAAATATATTTTTTTTTTAAAAAAGAAAGAAGAAAAACACATTATTTGCAGATGATATGATACTGAATAAAGAGAATCCTAACTATTCCACCAAAAAACTATCAGAACTGACCAATGAATTCAGTAAAGTAATAGGATACAAAATTAATATCCAGAAATCAGTTGCTTTTTTTTTCATCACCAAAAAGTATGTATTCATGCCCTGACCAGTTTGGCTCAGTGGGTAAAGCATCAGCCTGCAGACTGAAGCGTCATAAGTTCGATTCTGGTCAAGGGCATGTACCTTGGTTTCGGGCACATCCCCAGTATAGGGAGTGTGCAGGGGCAGCTGACCATTGTTTCTCTCTCATTGATGTTTCTAGCTCTCTATCCCTCTCCCTTCCTCTCTGTAAGAAATCATTGCAGAATTGCTGAGCCATGTACAAATTCCTCAGTTGCAATAATAAATTATCAGAGAGGGAAACTAAGAAAACAATATCATTCACAACTGCTTAAAAATAAAATAAAATAAAATACCAAGGAATAATTTTAACCAAAGAAGTAAAAGACCTGTACTCAGAAAATTATAAGACACTGAAGAAAAACTGAAGATACAAATAAGTAGAAGCATATACCATACCATGTTCATGAATAGAAAGAATTAACATATAATTAAAATGTCCATACTACCAAAAGCAATGTATAGATTCAATGCAATTCTTACCAATATATCAATAGTATGTTTCATAGTACTAGAACAAATATTCCAAAAATGTATAGGGAACCACAAAAGATCCCAAATAGCAATAGCAATCTTGAGGAAAAAAGAAGCTGGAGAAATCACACTACTTGATATCAAGCTCTATTACAAGGCCATAGTAATCAAAACAGCATGGTACTGGCACAAAAATAGACATATAGATCAAGGGAACATAATAGAGATCCCCAAATTAACACACCTTTGGGTCAATATTTGACAAAGGAGCCTGGCTGGCGTGGCTCAGTGGTTGAGCACTGTTGGTAGGAATGCAGATTGGTGCAGCCCTATGGAAAACATTAAAAATGGAACTGCCTTATGACCCAGTGATTCCACTACTTTGAGGAATTTAAAAGAAGAAACACAACACATTAATTCAACAGAATATTTGTACCCCTATGTTCATTGCAATGTTATTTACAATAGCCAAGATTTGCAACTGTTCATCAATAGATGGGTGGATAAAAAGAGCTGTGGTACATTTACATAATGGAATACTACTTGGCTCTTGGCTGTAAAAAAAAAAAGGAAATCTTACCCTTTGCGACAGCATAGATGTACCTGAAGAACATTATGTAGTAAGTTAAATATGCCAATGAGAGAAAGACAAATACCATATGATTTCACTCACACGTGGAATCTAATGAACAAAATGAACTAACAAGCATAATAGAGAACTTACAGACAGAGAGCCAGCTGACAGCAGGGGAGGGGGAGTTCTGGAGGGTGTTTGTTTGAATATTAGGTGGAGGGATTGGGCAAAAAAAAAAAGAGAGAAAAACTAAAAAACTTATGGACAGGGACAATAGTGTGGTGACTGAGGAGGGATAAATGGTGATGGAGCCTTGTCTTGGGTGGTGAACACACAATAGTGTACAGATGATGTGTTGTAGAATTGTGCACCTGAAACCCTGCATAATTTTGTTAACCAGCGTTACCCCAATAAATTTTTTAAAAAGTCCACACCCACATGTAACATACTGTATGAACCCACTTACTTACTAGTAATGTTCTTAAACAACACTATCCGATGGTTATCAGAGACCAAGGAGAGGCTGGAGTGAGAGCACTGGGTGTGGCCGAAAAGGCAATAGGAAGGATGCTTCTGAAAGCGAACGTTCTGTATTCTGTGTGTATTGATGTCACTATGCACCTTATGACATTGCATCTACCAGCTTGTAACACTGTATTGCATTGTATCTGTTATTTCTTACATCTGAGGTGAATCTATGATTACCTAAGACAAATAAATAAATAAATGCACCTAAAAATAAAAAAATGCACCCATATTCATAGCAACATTATTCAGTGGCCAGAAGGTGGAAGCAACCTAAGTGTCCATCAAAGAATGAAATGCCCTGGCCGGTGTGGCTCAGTTGGCTGGGCAGCGTCCTGTACACCAAAAAGCTTGCTGGTTAGATTCCTGGTCAGAAATGTCAGGGTTATGAGGCCAAGTCCCAGTAGGGGGCCTGCAAGGGGCAGTGAATCAACGTCACCCTCTAACAATGTGTCACCCTCTAACAATGTTTCTCTCTCTCCCTTCCTTTCTCTCTAAAAATCAGTAAAAATATTTTATTTTAAAAAGAATGAATGGATAAGCACAATGGATCATATACAGTACACGCCACAAAATATCATTTAGCCTTCACGAAGGAGAAAATTCTGACACATGCTACATCATGGATGAGCCTTAGGACATTACATCGAGTGAAGTAAACCAGACTCAAAAGGCTCCACATATGTGTGCTCTCTAGAGTGAGTGGGATGGTGGGTGCCAGGGCCAGAAGTATGCGGGAATGGGGAATCATTACTGAATGGGTAAGGAGTTTCAGTTTGGAAAGATGAAAAAATTCTGGAGATTGGTTGGGATATACTTAAGATTACTGAACATTTAAAAACACCACTGTACATTAAAAATGGTTAGAATTGTAAATTTTGTTGTATGTATTTTACAATTAAAAAAAAAAAGCCCTAAAGAATAAGCCCTTCAGGATGGTGACTTAGTGCATTGGGCAGAAACAATCTCCCACGGAGTGATCAAGAGCACTGATTGATCAGAATCTGTCTCTTCTGCTCACTGTGGCATCTACAGGGACCTGGTTAAATCCAAAGGTGAACAACCGACACTCAACACATACTATATTCACAGCATCACTTTGCAAGTTGTACTGGTCACAGCTATCAGCACATGCTGCGTTCTGGGAACAGACAACCCCCTCACTCCACATGCCCAGCCAATTCCCTCTCGTCCTGATCCGAACCCCCTCCCACGTTTAAAGTCCTGCTACATGGATGTGCAGAGAACAAACTGTCTACTGTCCTCCAGAGAGTCTTCCTTCCATCTGCTGAGAACCAGTAACAGCAGCGTTCAACCCCTTTCAGCATCAACATTGTTCTTGTAATAACTGAATTTCAGGTCAGCCAAAGGAAAGGGTTCATTAGGGAAACTAAGGGGGTGTGGTCAGAAACCACAGCCCCAGGCAGAACCTGGGATGGAAAGGGGTGAGTGAAGACACCTGCCAGACCAAAAACAGCCCCCCCCCCCCCCCCCCGGGAGGACACCCCAGACAGAAGCTTTCCGTGGAAACCCCCTAACAGTCCTCCACATGACTACGCGACGGTACCAAAGATATCTATATCTTCCCTCCCCCTTTTCAATGGAGGGGACACCAAGATGCCAAGAGGAAGAGAGACGGGGACTCCAGGACGTCTGTTGTCCACACAGGCTCCCAAAGGTGACGGCACTTCCAGCAGAGTGAGCAGCCCGGACTATGGGGCAGGAGGACGGATGGGAGTCACATAAACGCACATCGGTCCTCTTACTTTTTCTAGGCTGGGCTGAACAGCCTGTGTGGCAGACAGAAAGCTGGCCGGGGTCCTGGCAAAGCTTCCCTGCAGCTGACAGAGAGGCAAAGTGGGGTTTTTTAAAGGTTCTGCAGAAGTCACTCACCAGGGGCAGCTGGAGAGAGGTCATCTGCTGTCCATCCCTCGAGCTCACTTCCTGAAGGAGGGATGGGTCCTGAGGAACTGAAAGAGATGAGAAAAGGGTGCCTCTTTTCTTACCTGGGAGGATTACAAAACAATGCAGAGAAAAAACTTCGGGCAAACTACAAGATTTGTGACTTTGCTTTCAAACACAACAAGGGGGACTTTGACAAGGAATGCCTGGGCCACCGAGTCGCAATGTAACTCCCCACAGATGCAGGGGCTTCGACTTCATGATCCGAAATATGGGGAAAACAGAGGTTAGAGCGCTGAGTCAAGGCATCAGTAAGAGCTGCCGGCAATGAAGATAACTGTGGGGCTCCAGGATCACAGAAATGTCTGCACCTGAAGTTTATAAACTGTAAACTCCAGAAGACTGTCCCCGTTAGGTTTTGTTACCCCCCCCCCCACACACACAACACCTCCCCCTTCCCAGGGGAGGAAGCACTTGTTAGGCCCACTAGAAAGTGCAAAGTGCAGCACTGGGACCACCTCCCTTAGCCTGATTTTGAGGCCTGGGGGGCAGGGGTTGGTGTTCCAACAGACTTCTCCCCCTGACTGGCAATGACACCTTGCTCAGGCTTTGTGAGCAGCGCCCCACATACCTGGCCCCAGGCCCAGGGTGCAGCCACGTGAAAATAAGTTATGTTTCAAAAGGTGCTCCTTCCACAGAGTAAGACGTGGAAAGATGCACTATCGTCTCTTGGTCTTCTGAAGGCTGATCCTGGTCACATGTTAAATCAGCCTCAGAGCTAGCACAGAAGCCAGCATCTCTCACCAGGATGCAGCAGGGAACGGTGTAACTATTTAGAACAAGGGCCCAATCAGGAGGCAGAGCAGGGGACAGCATGGCCAGCAGGGACACGGGGGTCCCCGAGGGAGGCAGTCTCCTCGCTGTGCTGGGGAAAGCGCCAGCAGGTGGTGTGGCTGTGACGGGGTTCATGCTGCTCTCTCACACCTGCCAGCTTCTGGGGGATGAATGACAGCTCCCCCCCCCTCCCTTTCCCACGGGACATGAGTACCCGGACATTTTTACAAACCACCGTGGAAAGCTTTATCCTTTAAATAAGATCTAGCGTTGTGGGAAGATTTTTCAAGATCAGGAACTACAAGGTTTTTACTGGCGGCCCATCCCAATGACAAATCACTTTAGGTCTTTAAGATCTTCATTATGGCTCCTTTGTCCACTTATTATTGCTCAGGGAAAAGGGAGGAGCTGAGCCTTTGGACCAGAATCCCATCAGTGGTAACTGGCTTGCCTCTGAACTTCCCCAAGAAGCACCAGCTTTGGCTGGGGCAGCGACTTCTGAGGGCATTCCTGCCACCCACAACCTGCATACCCCAAGCGGCCTGCACATGCACTGTTTATTTGGACTAAGGGTTGCTTCCCTTAAGCTTGTCGGTAGGCTAAATTTTGTCCCCACCAAATTCACATGTTGAAGTCCCAACCCCTATGACCTCAAAATGGGACTGTATTTGGAGATGGGGGTCTTTCAAGAGGTAATTAAGTTAACATAAAACTTTTAGGATGGGCCCTAATCCAATATGACTGATGTCCTTATAAAAAGAGATTAAACCCTGGCTGGTACACCAAAAAGTGGCAGGTTTGATGGCTGGTGTGGCTCAGTGGTTGAGCATCAATCCATGAACCAGGAGATCACAGTTTGATTCCCCGTCAGGGCACATGCTAGGGTTGGGGCTTGATCCCCAGTAGGGGGCATGGCAGGGGCCAATCAATGATTCTCTTCATTGATGTTTCTAACTCTTCTCTCTCCCCCCCTCTCTCTGAAATCAATAAAAAACATACTGAAAGAAGAAAAAAAAAAAGTGGCGGGTTTGATTCCTAGACTGGGCACACTGAGCCAGGTTGCAGGCTCAATCCCAAGTAGAGGGCATGCAGGAAGCAATCAATCAATGTTTCTCTCTCCCCATCCCTAAGATCAATTAAAAAAAAATTTTTTTAGTTAAAATTATAAATTTTATATAAAAAAGAGAGCGATTAAGACACACACAAAAGGACAAACACACGAGGTCATAGGGAGATGATGGCCATTCACACACCAAGGAGAGAGGCCCCAGTGAACCAGCCCTCCTGACACCTGGTTTTGATCTTCCAGCCTCAGAACTGGAAGTAAATGTCTGTTGTTTAAGCTGCCCCGTCTGTGGGACCTTGTTCAAACATTCCTAAAAAAACTAACATAACTATCTTGACTTTTCACCGAGGGGAGACTGAAGAGTTTCATTTATAAAGAAGTCAATATAGCTTAACCATTAAAGAAATTTAATATGCGCTTTTTTTTTTAAACTGAAAAACTTACAATGTTAAGGACTACCGTGAATCTCCAGAATATTCTCTAAGAACACTCTCTCTCCTGGCAACCTCCCTGCTTTCATCTGTTATTTGTAGCACAATGCAGCAGCAAGCCTGCCTGAAATAACCCTCACACCATAGAGGTCCTTAAGCCCAGGACAGCACAACTTCCCATAGGAGTACTTCAACTGAAAATCATGACTGCCTCAGGCCCCCTGTTTAGAATGTTAAGGGGTGTATAATCCTTTAATCCCACAAAACCCAATAAGGGTAATGATCACCTCCTTTGGATGGACCAGGAAACTGAGGCTTGCAGAGTTTAAAAGCATGGCCTGGATTATAGTGAGAGAATTCAATGTCAAGTGTACCTGGTGCCAAAACCACCTGCCTGAAGCCACCAGCACACTTTGTACAGATATTAAGACATGACTAGGTGATACTCAAGCCCCAAACCCGTTCCCTCTGAGAGTATTTCTGTATTTCCTTGCAGCATCATAAGAAGCCTGAGATCAGGGGCTGTTTAGCTGGGAAAGAGAGGTTCAGGGAGACAAGGGGATATGGTCACACTCGGCTCCTCACACAGCCCTACTGGGACAGCCAATAGTGCCCGGCTGTCCCCCCAAAAGACAAAGCCCAGAAATGCACCCTCACAGAGAGAAGATGGTGCAGCTTCAAAGAGAGCCCCTTCCAACAGGGTCTGCACTGGGAGGCAGAGGCCCCTCTGAGTGAACGGGGCACCGTGAAAAGAACAGACACCCTCAGGAAATCCTGATTCAATCACTATAGGGAGGAACTGACCTTGAAAGTTGTTTATGGCTCCTCAGGAGATAGAACTACTGAGGTCAAGAGCCACCTCTAAGGCACAAGGTGGGGTACAAAGGCCAGCCAACTCCCACCCCCCACCCCCAGACTCCCTACCTGGATCCCCGCTGAGCTGGCCTGGCAGTCGGCTTGGGAGCCCAGGGCCCTGGGGCAGGGCCACTGGCTGGGCTTCCTGGCTCTTTGCAAGGTGGCTCTGGGCCTCTGCTGGCAGCCGCTCCTGCTCCTGGTCCAGAGGGCCATCCCCATCGTCAATCACCACGGGGTCCTCACAGTGCTTGAGCTGCAATCCCAGAGAGAGCTTTTCAGAACTCATGGAGGGTCTCCAGCCAGCAAGGGCCAGAGGCTGTACAAACTCCCTCCCTTGGCCTCCTGACCATCACCTCCACAGCAGATCGCCGGAGTGAGCTCAGCCCAGGCCTTGGACAGGGCGGTAAAGGGGAAGGACTTATCTTCCTAGTTAGAGCCTTTAAGGCACATGTGTCAAACACAAGGCCCTCGGGCCAAATCCGTCCCGCCAGGCCTTGCAATGTGGCCCGCACACTCCGCTGCGTTTCCATCACAATGACAGTTTATGACTGTTCAGTAAACCATTCGGCCCGCGATTTAGGCTGGATTTTAGATTTTGGCCCCTTCTCTGATTGAGTTCGACACCCCTACTTTAAGGGAACATAATCTACTCTACTGAGAAACCAACACTCACATATACTTCACCAAAGCAGGAGTTCTAGAAAGAATTCCTCATCCCTGCTAGGGGACGGAAGAGGTGTGTGTGCGCAGAAGGGAGTGGCCCCTCTCTATCCTGCTGGCTCTTACCCTCTCCTCCCCGCAACCTCCGGCCAGCCCAGAGCAGCTGCTCCACTCACCCACTGCCAGGGTCTCCCCGGCTCCCTTTCCAGCGCCTCCACAGCCGCCACAGCCTGCTCCCCGCTCTCCGGCTCCTGGGCGCGCACCCAGCCCTGGATCTCGCGAGGCAGAATGGCCAGGAATTGCTCCAGCACCAGCAACTCCAGGATCTGCTCCTTGCTGTGCCGCTCGGGGCACAGCCAACCCCGGCACAGGTCCCAAAGGCGCTGGAGGGCCTCCCGGGGGCCCGCCGCCTCCTGGTAGCGGAACCGGCGGAAGAGGCGTCGGGACGACTCGGGGCTGGGAGGCTCGCCCTGGGGCCCAGGGCTCTCCCCCGGTGGGCTCCTCATTTTCCTGGGCTCCTCACTTTCCTTCGGAGCCAAGACTCGGGGACACAGGGCTGTGGGCATGATGGGATTTGATGGGGGTCAGCAGCAGAAGACGACCCTATTTCCAAACAGAAATCACTGGATTCAATACTCTGGTCTCTTGTAAGTAGGTGTGGAGGGTGGTGATGGGGAAAGGGACAAGGCCCGGAGACCAGCCCTTGGGAGAAGCCCTAGGACAAGTGAGGAGGGTCAGTGTGACTGGTCCTTATACAAATGGAGAGAGGGCACGGCCACCCCCCACAGCATCATTGCAGGGTCCCCTGACAGACAAGGCAGGGAGTCCGGGAGAAAAGCGGTGGCTTTCACCGTGACAAAGACATTCCGAGCATCCCAGGGCAATGGCAGGGCTACGCTCAGGAGAGAGAAGGAAGTAAGACCCCGTGGTACCTTCGGTGGCCAGATCCTCCCGGAGAAAACCCAAGAGGGCCGAGCCAGGCAGGCTGCTATCTTGGGGTTTCTGAGCCAAAGTCACCGTTCCTGCCTTGAGACCTTTACAACACAAGTTGGAAAGACAAAGACAGATGTTCCAGTTAAGAACCGTGAAGGCATGTTGAGGAGGGGAAGCCCACCCTGCTGGTGGCCTGCTGGGTCCACACAGCCAGCCCAGCCCTGACCCGCAGAGTCTACTGGGGACAAGGGTAAAGCACATGGTCGAGAAGTAGGTTGGAGCGTAGTCCCATACACCAAAGGGTGGCAGGTTCAATCCCCAGACGGGGTGTGTAGGTGAGGCAACTGATCCGTTTCTCACATCAATCTTTCTTTTTTCCTCTCTTTCTCAAATGCATCAATAAGAACATATTCTCAGATGAGCATTTAAAAAGCAACAAAAAATGGGACAAAAGTGATAATCACACCCCAGATTCCAGGAGAAAAGTAATGCTGTGTGTTTATAAATACCAGTACCGCCTGGCAGGTGTGGCTCAATGGTTGAGCATCTACCAATGAACCAGGTGGCTCATTCCCGGGTCAGGGAACAAGCCTGGTTTCAGGCTGGATCCCCAGCAGGGGGCGCGCAGGAGGCATCAGATAGATGTTTCTCTCTCATCAATATTTCTCTCTAGCTCTCCCTTCCTCTAATTAAAAAAAAAAAAAAAAAAAAAAAAAAAAAAAGAGTAAACTCCACTACTCTGATACTATGGGACCCAGAGAAAGTCCCTCCCCTTCTCTCAGGCCGTGAGACCACTGGTTAGTCAGAGGACTTCCATACCCAGATTGTATGAAGCGCCCCAGCTCAACCTTACCCCCCAACAGCTGAGGGTCCTACGGGCCCCATGTGGCACGCAGGCCCCGCTCCAATTTCACAGGAAGACCAGACGGACCGCAAAGCCACGGAATGGCAGTCAGAAAAACCAATGGAAAACAGGCTGGCAGACAAGGACTCAAGAAGTCCGGCTGGGCCCCTTAGAGCCTGCCCCATGGCCACCTTCCTGCAGTGCCCTTCCTGCATCTGGAACCAGCCCCACCACGCCGAAGTCCCTGAGCTCAGCCACGACAGGGCCTCTGGCTTCCCAGGTCGGCCCCAACCTGGGGTACCCAGGCCCTCCCCACCCCCTTGCCCTCAGCCCTCAGCCCTCAGCGTGCGCTGGGACCGGCCCTAACCAGGCCGGGGCGGTCCTCTTTGTCACCCAGGCCGGCACCTGGGGCAGGAGGCTCGGAGTGCTGCCTGCTGAATGAACCGACCTGGGATTCCCGGGCAGCGGGCGGGGCGGGGCTTACAGCAGCTGATGGAGGCGGGACCGCGCGGGCCGGCGGCGAGAAGAGGGAGGGCGTTCTAGGCCGGGGAAGCGCTTTTCCCCGCTCCCGCTCCTGCTCCCGCTCCCGCTTCCCTCCCGGCGCGCACGCACCCCCGCGCCTCCAGGGCAGAGCCCGGCTCCTCACTCGCTCGCTCGCTCACTGGGTCCGCACCTCCTCCCCGGCTCTAACTCCGATCGCTCCGGCCGCGGCGCCCGGCTCCACAGCCGCTGCTCATCCTCCCGGCGTCCTCCCCGCGGCGGGCGCTCCGCTGGGCCCGACTCCGTCCCTGGGCGGCCAAGCCCGGCTCCCGCTCATCCAGGAACGCACGGCCCCACCTGGGAGGGAAGCGGGAGAGAGGCATGCAGGCGCCTGAAAGGCGATACCGCCCCGTCTCCCCGCCCGCGGAGCCCCGGCGATGGCTCCGGGACGGGGGCGCGGGGCCGGGATGGGGGCGCGGGGATGGTCCGGGGCCGCGAGTCCGAGGAGCCCGGGGCCGGAGAGGCGGCGGGAGGGCGCCGCGCGGGCCGGAGGGGCCCGGCCGCACTCACCGCCGCGCCGCGTCCCCGCCAGCCGGCCGCGCAGGCTGGGCCGCCGCTGGAGCCGCCGGACGCGGAGGAGAGGAAAGGCCGGACCCTTCGGCTCCCTCCCCTGGGACACTTCCTGCTCCACTCTAGGACCGCGGAGGTCTCGGCGTCTCAGTGGTTCGCTCCCCGCCCCCCCTCTCCCCCCCAGGCCGAGGTGTGCGCAGGGGTGACACCCGACACCCCCAGCCCGGCCCGCGCGCCGCCCCGCCCCTCTCCTCGCGCGTCCGGGCCTCGTGGGCCCCGCCGCCCGGCCGGCCTCCCCGCGGCCCCGGCGCCGCACGCGGGGGCCCAGGACACGGCCGGCACGAGGGCGCGCAGGGCGGGAAGGCTCCCGGGCTATCCTCTCTGCTCTCCCCACTCCCGGGCCCCGGACCAGAGGATGCCCGGAAGGGCAGATGGGGGCCAAACTGCCGGCTGGAATGGGGAGAGGAAGCCGCTCCATTTAGGAATCCCTTGTGACCGCCCCCGGATGTCCAGAGCCCGTTCTCAGCCAGCTGCAGCCAGCCGCTGCCGAGGCCAGAAGGTCGAGGGAGACACAGACCCCTCCCCCACCCCCTTGGCCTCCTCCGCCTGGGGAGGTCCAGGCGTCAGTTTGCGCTTTCTGGGGGTGAAACAGATTTGCGGAGTTTCAGTGTAAGGAAGGCTGCCCACTGGAGGACAGGGCTGGGGGTGCGCGGAGGCCCCGGGAATCTCCCACCCACAGCGGGTGGGGAAGCTTGGGGCTCTTGGTTCACACGGAGCCAGAGGCGCGGAGAGAGGTTAGAAGACTTTGAAAGTGGCAGTGAAGGGCAAGCAGGAATCGGGGCCTTCGGATCCCCCAAACACTACCCTGTGCTGAGCATAGCAAGGGTCAGGAGGGGCCTTCCCGAGTCATCCTTAAGCTTCAGATTCCCCTGTTTGAGAGAAAGAGCTCCTCGGGTCTCAAACCTCTTCCCCATGAACCTCGCACCAAAGTTAAACTCTCCCACGGAACAGAAGGCAGAGAAAAGTCTCCATGTACCAGAGTCACTGGAATGCAGACACCTCTGCTTTCTGTCAGACACTCTTAACTTCCTTCCTTCTATCCTTCCTTCCTTCCTTCCTTCCTTCCTTCCTTCCTTCCTTCCTTCCTTCCTTCCTCCTCCCTCCCTCCCTCCCTCCCTCCCTCCTTCCTTCCTTCCTTCCTTCCTTCCTTCCTTCCTTCCTTCCTTCCTTCCTTCCTTCCTTCCTTCCTTTTTTCTTTCCTATATTTTTATTGATTTCAGAGAGGAAGGGAGAGAGAGAGAGAGAGAAACATCAATGATGAGAAAGAATCAGTGATCCGCTGCCTCCTGCACGTTCTCTCTGGGTATGGAGCCAGCAACCTGGGAATGTACCCTTGACCTGGAATGGAACCCAGGACCCTTAAATCAGCAGGCCCATGCTCTATACACTGAGCAAACTAGCTAGAGCAGTGCTCGGCAAAGTCATTAGTCAACAGAGCCAAAAATCAACAGTACAATGATTGAAATTTCTTTTGAGAGCCAAATTGTTTAAACTTAAACTTCTCCTAATGCCACTGTTTCAAAATATTGACTTGCCCAGGCCATGGTATTTTGTGGAAGAGCCACACTCAAGGGGCCAAAGAGCCACATGTGGCTCGAGAGCCACAGTTTGCGGACCACGGGGCTAGGGCATCTGTCAGACCCTGTTTCGAGGGCAAGCAGAACAAACCAGTTCCCTCAAAGAAAATGGCCGGCTAATGGGTGGGGAGGAGATGAGTGGGCCAGGACACCAGACCTTTGCCCAGCATGTCATTCCATGGCCTGGAGCCTCCTGTTTCTTCCTTTAAATTACAAGTTACCGCCCTGACTGGTGGAAGTTACTGGTAGCCACATTTGTCAAATGCCTGGCTTCTGACATCAGCAGGAAATGAACAAAGCAAAGGATTGAAGCTCTTTTTGGTGAACAGTGATTGTATTCCCCAAATGCCAGATACTGGCAGGGTCACCCAGAGATCTCACCTGGAGCCTACAGATACCAATGGGAGCCACCCTAGTTTAGCCTCCCCGAACTCAGTGGGAAGACTCCTCAGGAGCACCAGCAGCAGCACTGCGGCCATGGCCTGGAGGAGAGGTTCCCCTTGGGAGGGACCAGGGACCAGGGAGGAAGGCTGCATGTAGGTGCTGTAGCAAACAGCCCAGCCTGCGGCGCTGCTCTGGAGGTCAGGACCCTCTGCTGGAGCTCCCAGTTCTGTGACTGGCTGAGGAACCAGCTGTTGAGTGTTGGGAATTTGTGCTCCTCTTTCTGCCTAGTGCAGCCCTAAAGCACATAAAATGCAGAGCCCAAAAGTGGCTAGCACACAGCGGCAGGTCCATCCCCACTGCCCAGCCCGGCTCCTTACCCTGAACAGATACCACCCTGCAAATTGTTGACCCATCTCAGCTCAGAACTTGCATTTCTCTTGTGTTTTGCTAAGCACAGGGTCTAAGAGTCAGAGCACCAGAGTTCAATCTTGCCTTCCTGACTCCACTGGATGATCGCAGGCCAACTTAGCCTTTCTGTGCTTTAGCTTCCTCATCCAAAAAACAGAGATGATGCTGTCCACCTCAACAAACATACTTAGCACCTACTAGGCTCTCAGTGCTAGGTGCCTTTCCAGGTGCTCAGAGTCCGTCTGTGAACAGAAGTTTGATCCGTGTTGCAAAGGAAGAGGAAAGTGGGGCAGTGTCAGTAATGGTGCTGGGGTGCTGGCTCACTCTATTAAAGAAATCAGGGCAGCACAGCTCTATCGGGAGCACACTGGTGCCTTTCCTGTCCCCCCAGGCACATTACCTTCACCTTCCTCTTTCTCCTAAATTGCAAGGGCCCTTCTTTTGCCTTTGTACCGTGTTTCCTGAGCCCATTTTTTTCTATGGTTCACTTCTAGCTATTTGACTTTCTAAATGAATTTTCTTATTAAAAAAAAAAAAAAAAAAAAAAGGTAGGGACTTTGACAGCCAAAATTACATGTAACCTTAGACTCACCAAAAACTTAACTATTCTTGGTATCCTAGGGGACTTAATTAGTTCCAGAGCCTGTTACAGATGTCAAAGCCAATGGATGCTCAAGTCCTTTATATAAAATGGTGTAGATCAATACTAAATTAGGAAGAAACTGAAAATCTGAACAAAACAATCACTAGTAATAACATTGAATCAGTTATTAAAAATTTTTTTGCAACTAACAAAACTCCTGGACTAGATAGCTTCACAAATAAATTATACCAAGTATTAAGAAGAATTAATATTTACCCTTAACAAACTATTCCAAAAAAAAAACTGAAGAGGAAGGACAGTGCCCTGATTGGGAATCAAACCCACAACCTTGGGGTATTGGGGCCACGCTCTAACCAACTTAGCTACCCAGCCAGGGTAAGATGAGTCCTCTTAAAAACATTTGCTATTTGGGGGAGGAACTGTGTGGCAAAGTTGGAGATGAAACCAGAGGTCCTCATACACCAGGCTAAATGGTTTAAATTTTATTCTACAAGGATTTCTCACGCTTTTTTGCCTGCAGCCCAGAGAAAGGCACACACATCAAGATTCACTCTGATAATATGCTCTATTCTATTCTGCTAGGAGAAGGCTGGGCTGCTATTGTGACAAAGAAAAAAAAAAGGGGGATGGCAGGGGTGGGATCTATGGGAAGTAACCTCACAGGTGGTTTGATCATAAATTTCTAACTGGGCAGATCATGGTGGGTAGTCATGCCTCAGGCATATAACATTTTTTTAAATATTTTTTTTTATTGATTTCAGAGAGATAGGGAGAGGGAGAGAGAGATAGAAGCATCAATGATGAGAAAGAATCACACCCTGCCCTAGGGGTCAAGCTTGCAACCCGGGCATGTACCCTGCCCACCGGCTGGGCTGTATACCATTTTTAGTAAAAGTTTCATCCTTGTCTTGAGCCCTGTTGATTGTTTCTATGCATCTATCTGGGTTAAGACACCTTTGCAATGCACCCTCCTTCTGAAGAGTGACCACTCTCAGTCCTGGCGTGGGAACTCAGTTGGTTAATGTCATCTCCATATGCCAAGGTTTCGGGTTCGATCCCTTTTCAGGGCACATGCAGGAACCAACCAATAAATGCATAAATAAGTGGAACATCAAACCTCTCTCTCTCTCTCTCTCTCTCTCTCTCTCTCTCTCTCTCTCTCTCTCTCTCTCATCAGTAACTAAGAAATTAAAGAAAAAAGAAACAGTAAAATTGTCATTTTCTGAAAATGTTGGAGTTATTTTGCTTCCTGGCAGTTGCAAGCTTGACTCAAAGAAATTCTTATAAAAATTCTCTGCACGTGGGTCCCTGGGACAGCGGGGCTGAGGGCCTCTCCATGGAACTGAGTTCTGCATGGCTCTCACTCTCCTGCTTCCATTACAGCTGCATCAGCCACGGCCACTGCCACTGCCACAGCCACAGTCCCGTCCAAGGCCACAGCCAACAGGCCCGTCTCCTCGGTCCTCCCTGGGATGCCCACCTGCCCAATCATAGTTGGCCTCTTAGGCTGGGCCTTTACCTGACAGGAACCGAGGGCATAGTTACAGCCGCCATAACAGGTACTGATGGATGGCACACGCATGCTCTGATCAGCACTTCAAACCACTTCAAACCATATGAAGTCAAAAATCGGGCCTCTGAATGGTTTGCCTCAAAACAAGAAAAGTTCTACTGGGACGATATTCACAAATTACCTGTAATATGGGTGGAATGTGTAGCTACAATGGACAGTACTTTGAATAAAGCACTTTTGATGTTTCCTTTGAAAAGAAAAAAGTTCTCTGCACGTTTAAATGTTCTTACATTGACAAGTGTCTCCTGAATCGAACTCTACTCAGGCTTCTCTAGGCATTTTTTTTTTTTTTTTTTTTAAGTTTTGGGCATCCCTGTTCATCTCTGCATTGTCCAGTTTTAGCAAGAATCTTGTCCGTTTACCCAGAACTCCCACTCTCTGATCACCCTAGATATCTGGTCAGATTCCTCATCCCCACCCTCTCTCGGGTAATGCCTTCAGCAGGAATCCCCAGAGGTCAGCTCAGTTTAGACAGAATGCCTTTCATGTTTCTTCTGAGTACTATTCTATCCTCTTACTCCGACCCTGCTTCTTGGCC